TCCTTCGGGACATTTATACGAGCTGTGGTGACAACATAGTGGTGCACAACCTCAATGTACTCACATACCTTAAGTTCTCACAAGTGTACCATGGGCTAATTAAAGAGAAAACATAAATACAATATATATGATGCATATGCTTTTGGGGATATGAAATGTTTTATAAGAATTATATGATGTTATGTGTGTTTCTTTGTGAAATGATATGTGTTATATGATATACAAGAATGATAGTGATAGAGATCATGATAATGATATTGATGATAATAGTGATAGAGATCATGATAATGATATTAATGCTGATAGAGATATAGATCATGATAATGATATTGATGTGGATAATGATAGAGATTATGATAATATTATTGACGGTGTTAATGATGGTATACGTGTATGTATGCATTCTGATATATGAAATGTACTATGATTTCTATTACATGTTTTATACGCCTCACTAAGTTAACAACTTAGCGTGTGATTGTTTCACACGTAGGTACCAAGAAGAGGAATAATGATAAAAGTTAAGCAAGACATGTGTCAGTTCCTCCTTTCCAAAGATCAGAACAGAAAAGCATTGAGTAATATGTATTTTGTAATACTGATGGTAGTTGGCATGTAAGTAAAGATTTGAATTCGATATGCTCTAATTGGTTTTGTAAAATCATATGATTATAATTTATGTAAATTAGTCAGTTCTATTCAGTAAAAGTTTTAAAATTATTCACTATTTTGTACAAGTAAAGGTTTGAAAAGTCAATGTGACACCTCGGACTTGTATCCGGGTCGAGTACGGGTTGGGGCGTTACAATATAACTGACTGTTGATGAGCTGAATTGTAACTATCGTTTCCTTCAAAGGCTCAATGGTAATCAAATTATAGATGGAGAGAGGCATTATATTGATAGAGGCGCCTAAATCATACATAGCTCGTTTGATTCTAACTTTGTCAATTTTAAAAGAGATTGCAAACATACCTTAGTCCTTTAACTTTGAAGGGAGTTTTTGTTGAAAATGACTGAAACGTGTTTTTCCTAAGTTCACTTTCTTGCTTTTGTAAGTCACCTTTTATTAGTTCAGAGATGTTTAAGGAACCTAGAATATCTCGACACTTTCCGGATCACCTCAAAGAGCAAAATATTTGTTTCCACTTTCCGGAACACATTAAGGATTTCTTTCTCTTTAGCTTATTTATCATGTTTTACCAATATTGAAAGAAAAGGAGGTGAAACTTCATATGAGGATGACGCATGAGTTGTCGTGGAAGGATTTTGAGTGAAAGAATATAATGTTTCATCTTCATTCTTCTACGATTGTGTGGCACAATTCTCTAGATCTCAGGCGTGATAATAGTACCAATCCGGAGGGTGATAACACTAACACTATTTCTCGGGCTTCACTCAGTTTGTGATGGTAACTTCCCTTGTGACTCTAATTGCCCCACGTTTGAGCCAGTTGGCTCATTTGTTTTTCGAGATATTGAAAGCGAGCTTTAGTTATATTTTGGAACTTCTATTGGGATATCACCAACCATTCAACAATTAACTCTAACGATGATTTTGTTGGTTGATACAACTGAAGAGGTGGTGGCCTCGGTTGATAAGCTTGATTTGGTCTAGGATTTGGTTCATAGCTCAAGTTTGGATGATCCCTCTATCTTAGATTGAATTTGTTGGCATGAGGGTTGTAAGGCCTCTGAGGAGGTCTCGAAAAATTTCCTATTGTATTTACTTTAGCTTAATCATATTCTTGTAACATCGGACAATAATCTTCTAGATGATCTGGCATTGTACTTATACCACAAAGTCTAACTGTATCGATTTACCTGAAATAAGAGAATAAACCATATCAGTTAATTTATCGACTTTATTCTCTAAAGAAAATGTACTTATCTCGTGAACCCGTCGAGTAGGTTCATTAGGAGGGTAAAATTGTAGAAATTAAATTTATAGTTGTATTCAGGGTCATATTGACAAGTGCTCCTCCAATAATTGTATCGACCATCTTCATCTCCAAAGGCATCAAGCCTTTATAGAAGTACTGTGAAAGAGTGTGCTCTGAAAGTCCATGTTATGGGAAGCTAGAGCAGAGCTTTTTAAATCTTTCCCAATAGTCGTATAATGACTCTCCATCCTTCTATCAGATTCCCAATATGCTTCTCCTAAATTCACTCACTTTCGTCGCAGGGAAGAACCTACCAAGAAAAGGCGAGTCATGTCATTCTAGGTTGTTATAAAAGTGGGAGGTAAATAAAATAACCATTCCTTAGCCAAATAAACTAATAACCATTCCTTAGCCAAATAAACTAAGGGAAAGGAAAAGATTGAATTTTGATCTACTCTTTGGATACTCCCTGAGGTTTCATGCTGGTACATACTATGTGGAATTCTGTGAGAAGTTTATACAGTTTTCACTTGGTAATTCATGGAAGGTAGAAAAAAGATGAATGGGTCCAGTTTTCAACTGGAATAAAGTTTCTCTATCAGGAAAAGCGATGCACAATGGTTTTTGCACTGGAGGTGCCGCAACCAATTCCAAATAGTTTGATTTGCCATCGGAACGGTCTCTTCTAGCAAAAAAATTGGGTGTCTCGGCGTTAAAGGGTGTGTCTAGATCTGGTTCAGATTGTTGTTGTTTCATCCTTACTCGAAATGTTAATCTACGTATTTTACGGTCTAGTGCTTCGATCTCAGGTTCAAATCTACTAGCTCTATGGGATTTTTTCCTTGTCATAAATCAAAACAAACTAAATCAGTAATTTGCCCAAGTCTCCGACAACAACGTCAATTTCACAAGTGTCGTTTTACTGTCAAATGAAATTCTTTTAATCTCAAAATAAATAAATAAGGAATAGGTGTAGTAAAGAGAAATAAGGTCGATCCACATGAACTTAGAAATTTCTATCTTAGAATTGAGTTAATTCTATCCAGATAACTAATAACTACAATAAAAAGTGCATTTTTTGGTGAAATAAATATACAAATTGACTAAGTAAAAATAATTAAGAACAAGAGTAAAATAGTTGAAAATAATAATTATGGGAAATAGCCTCAAGCTTTGTTTTGCCTCAATTCGTTTCAATCATCGAAATAGATTTAACTTCGGGAGTTATGCCAGTTACAACCTATAAGGCCCAACTCTTGTAATTTGCTTTTCTCTCTGGTAACCAATATTCTCAAGATAATCTTTGAAATTCAGTCCTTGATTGGACTAACTGCAGCTATCGTCGTTAGCACAAAGACAATTTAAAGTGTTTTGATTTTTAAAAGTAAGCCCGATTGCCAAACTATTTTTGTAGAAAATTTAGAATGTAATCCGAAGATCTTAAGCATTTTTCAATTCTCACAATATGAATTGAGTCTTTGCTAAGTCATCGGATAAATGGAAAAATTAGCTAAATATAATATAAATCATACATAACATATTTTTTAAAAGAAAATAAAATAAAGTAAAAGAGCGGAAAAAAAAGAACTTTTATAAAAACAAAAACAAAAAATAAATTGAATTCAAGTACATTCTAGCTTTACACCACAATGGTGTGTTTGGTTCATGGAATGTAAGATTGCCTTTGGAAATAAGATTACCGGAATGTAACATTACTATGTGAATGTTGTATTACCCTGTTTGGTTTACTTGGCAGGAATGTAAGATTATAGTGTTTGGTTGGAGGAATATAAAATTACTTAAATGCATACTTTACCAAATTATCCTTGTGATATATATTTTAACAAGTAAAACTTTAATATTAAATTATAAATATTTGAACGAAAATTTATAAAAATATTTTAATGCTACACTATCTAAGTTTAAAAAAAATACATTTAACATATAATTAATATAATTAGTATATCAAACTTATAATTTTAAATAATTTTCATAAGTATCATATTTATTTATATATAATATAATGTAATCGAGTGGACAAACATATTATTTTTTAATATATAAGATCGATTTTTTAATAACTCAAAAATAAATATTATTTTAAATAATTACATTTTTTATAATAATAATATTTTCACCTCATAAAATTATAAAATAATTAATATACTAAATATTAAAAATATAAAATAAATTTTAACTACTCAAATTTATAAATATTTTTCTAAATTAAACTCTTTGTATATTATTATTATTTTGAGTAAAGCGTCAAGAATAAGAATTGAGAGTGATCCATATGAAAAAAAATTATTATTTCAATGGTATTTGTGTATAAAGTGGTGTGAATTATTAATTACCTAAGAATTTGGAGGTAATGACGTTCCTACTATTTTAACCCAAAAATACTACTATTGATAATAAGTTATTATTTAGTAATGATATTTTCCGTGAATCAAACATGATAATAAAATTCCGGAAAAAATATTTCCTTTGGTAATGATCATTTGCGCGAACCAAACGCTCCCAAAGGATATTTATAACTTTCTAAAACCCTAAAGACGGAACAAAATAAATTCAAAATATAATCTAAAAATAAATCTCCAAAGTATTTTAAATTCAAACTTAATTTCTTAGATTAATACATTTGAAATAACTCTACCCATCCACCTTTTAGAACATGCTGACTGAATCTTCTAGAAGTTCCTGTTGACTAGATATTCTAAAAAAATTATAGAATCATCCATTTTAACGTTATTTTTGAAAATTAAGCTCCAACACAAAAATAAACGAAATATAACCAAATCAGCGGTAATAACATGGCAATACAAAAAAAATTAACAATTATATAACTTCAATTTAATTTAGAACACTCGTCAATTTGTAAAAACCAAAATAAGTATAACTTCTGTCTTTTTCATTATCTCTTTGCCTTTTACTGCCTTTTAGCTTCCCTTTTTAACTTACTTCACTCCCTTTGCAAAAACCTGCCATCTCTCAAGCTCTTTATATTCACTTTCCTATAGGTAAGCTTCTTTATCCATTTGTGCTATATTTATGGAATTTGGGGAAATTTTGGGTGCTTAAGTGAACCATATCTCTCTCTCTTTGGTAGAAATCTGGCAATGGAAGATAGATATAGTTATTCCAAGAAAAGCAGTGGTGCACCATGGATATCCTTGAGAGAGGGGGATTTTGAGGAAGAAGCTCTCAAGGAAAGTAACGATTCAACTTCCAATATTTCTGTTACAAGACATATCCCAAGTGCTGTGAGAATGATCCCAGGATCATTGTCTGCAATCAGCCATGTCGGCAGCTGCTGTTCTACTTCCGCTACTCATGATGATGTTAAGCAGCAGTCGGCCCCTGTAAACATCCCTGACGGTGGTTCATGGCATGATGATGATGATGATGAACATAATACCAAGTTCCCACCGCATGAAATTATTGCAAGGAGGCTTGCAAGGAGTCAGATTCCTTCCTTCTCGGTGTTGGAAGGTGTTGGTCGAAAACTCAGAGGGAGGGATTTGAGGAATATGAGAAATGCTGTCTTAACAAAAACAGGTTTCCTTGAATAATGTTCATCACCGGTAAGTGTAACCATGTGTGTTCGGTAGTTGCATTCGCCGAAGCAGAACCGCCTTGTCGATCGATTCAAACAAGTGTCGTAATGTGTGCAATGTGAAACGAAGCTAGGACATGGCTTTGCTAAGTACCAAAAATTGGGACCATTGGAGCCATTCATGTTGTGCTCTTTTTGTCATTTGTAGGCTTTCCCTGTAAGCAAAACAAAACACTGCAACTCCATTCAATGAATTAAGGTTTCCTTTATTCATTTCTTTAATTTTCGTTCCAAACCTCTAAAACGACTCCATCGATGAACTCGACAGGTATATTCTCAAAGCATGAATCTCATGTTGATTGTATATGGAGTATAATTTATGCTAACCCTGATATTTGAGATTAAAGTCGTCTTCATAGACCGGTCGATTTTTGTTTGAACCAAGATGTCATAGTTGTGGTTGAAGTTGAATGAAAGGTTAGTCTTGTTGAAATCACGTTTTTATGAAGTCTAAACTTAAATGAAAAAGATATCATATAATTTAACTTTCAAATAAATTACCACAATTGAACAATTTTTACATATCATTATCAACAGAAATTATTTCATAATATTTTTTTCATCCATATCACTAATCGACTCATAAATAATTTCAAAGTAACCACTCCCTTCTATATTTATATGAAAAAATTGACATAAAAAATTAAAAGATAAATATTTTTTATTGGTTAGAACATGAATAACCTAATAAAAATTATCTATATAAAATTTTTCATGAAATGAATCTTCAACTACATATGACAATATTGTTTATGATCAAAATAATTTCATATTTTGATTTATTTTTTTATTTAGATTGATTTGGAAATTCGAATCATCACTAGTAATTTTATTGAAGTAAATTAAAAATTTTATTCTTTTCATTTTTTAAAATATAGATTTTGTTTTTTATTTGAATTTTTTAAATATTATATATATATATATAGAAATAATATTATACAATATAAAAAATAAAAAATTCATATAAATATAAAATAAATATTAATTAATTAAAATATCCAAATGAGTATTTAAAGTCATACGTATAAAAAAATTATATATTATGAGCAAATATAAAAATAAAATGTTATCAACACATTATTACATCCGGTGCCTTTGATCATCATTTTTCTCATTCAATTACTACGATTGTGCTTGTATTCAAACAACAAACCCAATAATTGAGATTTATCTCATGATTATAGTAATTAATTTCACCATCTCTATTTTAATCTCAGAGAAATTAACTTTCACCATCGTCCAAACGGATATTGATTCAACTACAATAAGATATAAATTGACATAAATTGATAAATAAGTTTTTTTCCCTTTTTTTATTTGTTTTTTAGACCTACAAAAAACTATCAACAAGCAAAACCCAAGAATATTGAGTCTGTTGGGGAAATCGGGTTATTTCCCACACGAACGTAGTTTCAAAATTGACCTAAAATATCAAGATCAAAACCACCAAAGGTTGCACAGCGGATAAACCTGTCAAACTATTGAATATTGAAATACAACGGAAAAGAACCGAATAAAAACAATAAAGGAGAGAACACACCAAATTTACGAGGTTCGACGAGAATATCGTCTACTCCTAGGGCACCACACCGGATGATAACTTCACTATATCGCCAATATTACAACAAATCGAATTCTTTAGAATTCTCAAAGTGGAGAATGAAGAATACCCAAAGAATTTTCCAATGTGTACAAGTTAACCACCAAATATGAAATTTACATGTTCAAAGTTTGGCCACCAACCAATATGAAATTTCCAACTTGCCAACTTAATTTCTAGACAAATCTAACAAATCTCCACCTTGGCTTGAAATTACCAAGCCTACTCAACTTCTTCAACTCCCCAAATTTGTAGTGCCTCTAATTGCGCTCACAAGCGCCACACACCCGAAGGTGTTCATACTTTCAGGATGTTAATCAAGTTCAAACAATGATTGAACTTGATTACTGTTACCACCTTGGTCATCATATCTGCAGGATTTTCTGATGTCGTAATTTTCTGAAGTAGAATCTTTCCTTCTTCAAAGATCTACCACACAAAGTGATACCTCACGTCGATATGCTTAGTCCTTGAATGGTAGACTTGATTTTTCGCCAAGTGAATAGCGCTCTGACTGTCACAATAGAGACTAATGTGACTTTGAACAACTCCCAAGTCTTCCATCAACCCGTTAAGCCAAATTGCTTCCTTTACAGCCTCTGAAATTGCCATGTATTCTGCCTCTGTAGTAGACAAGGCCACCGTAGATTGCAATGTAGACTTCCAACTTACTGAGGCTTTAGCAAGAGTAAACAAATACCCATTAGTTGATCGACGCTTATCCAAATCACCAGCATAATCAGAATCAGTATATCCAACAACACACTGACCAAGTGCTTCATCATGTTCAAAAACTAAACCAACATCCACGGTTTGTTGGAGATACCGTAGAATCCATTTCACAGCTTGCCAATGTCCTTCTCCAGGATCATGCATGTACCTACTCACAACTCCAACTGCTTGTGAAATGTCAGGAAGCATACACACCATTGCATACATCAAGCTCCCAACTACATTAGCATATGGAACTTTTGACATGTACTCTCATTCTTCGTTAGTTTTAGGAGATAATTGAGAACTAAATTTCAAATGAGAAGCTAGTGAGATACTTACATGTTTGGTATTTTCATTCATGCCAAAACATTGTAATACCTTTCTCAGATACTGCTTCTGTGTTAAACAAAGCTTCTCTCTCTGTCTATCTCTGCTTATCTCTAGACCAAGAATCTTCTTGGCCTCACCTAGATCTTTCATCTCAAACTCTTGATTCAACTAAGCCTTTAATTTGTCTATCTCCTTTTGACTCTTTGAAGCGATCAACATATCATCAACGTACAAGAGAAGATAAATGAAAGATCCATCTTTGAGCTTTTGCAAATACACACAATGATCATATTTTCTTCTAGTGTACTTTTGCCTCCTAATAAAGCTATCAAATCGCTTGTACCACTACCTCGGAGATTGATTCAATCCATATAGCGATTTGTTCAGCTTACAAACCCATTTCTCACAACCACCATCTTTGTATCCTTCTGGCCGAGTCATATAGATCTCATCTTCTAAATCACTGTGCAAGAAAGTCGTCTTTACATCAAGTTGAGCTAGCTCCAAATTCAACTGTGCTACCAAGGCCAACAATATTCTAATGGAGGAATGCTTCAAAACAGGGGAAAATACTTCAGTGTAGTCGATTCCCTCCTTTTGAGCGTAGCCTTTAGCTACCAACCGTGCCTTGTAGCGAACATCTTTCTTTGCAAATACCCACTTGCATCCAATTGCTCTTTTACCTTTCAGTAATTGTGTCAGTTTCCAAGTGTTGTTCTTTTGGAGAGATTGCATTTCTTCATCCATGGCACTTTTCCACTTATCACTTTCCAATCTTTGTATTACTTCTTGGTAAGTTATAGGAATATCATCATCAACAACTGGAAGAGCATAGGCCACCATATCAACAAATCGAGCAGGTCTACGAATTTTTCTCCTTGGCCTTGTAACTGCAAATGGTTCTGGTGTCTCCAATGGTTCTTGGGTTTGAACCTCTTCATCTTCTGATTATTCTATTGGAGTTGAAGAATCAGCTGCATCAACTTCTGGGATCATCTTCTGCTGAAACTCCACCTGTTTTGGAGTATGTTCCACTTGCTGCGGAGTACTACTTTTCTGGATAGCTTCACTTGTTACCTTCTTTACTAGGGCAGATTCATCAAAGGTAACATTTTCTGTTACAAATTATCTTCTTGGTGTCTAAACACCAAAGGCTGAATCCCTTCACTCCATGGGTGATTCCCATAAAGAGAGCCTTCTTTGCTCTCGGATCAAGCTTGGATTCCTTCACATGATAATAAGCAGTGGATCCAAATACATGTAAAGAATCATAATCAGTAGCAGGTTTTCCAGACCATACCTCCAATGGTGTTTTTCCTCCTATCATTGATGACGGCAGACGATTGATGAGATGGCCAGCATATGTCACAGCCTCAGCCCAAAATGTCTTGCCTAACCCAGCATTAGACAACATACATCGAACTTTCTCCAATAGTGTTCGATTCATACGCTCTGCCACCCCATTCTGTTGTGGTGTATGTTTAACAGTGAAGTGTCGAACAATACCATACTCATGGCAAACGTCAAAGAATGGGTCACTTTTATATTCCCCTCCAAAATAATGGTTTCCTCCCAAAGACGATGTCTTTGAAGGACCCCATACATCTGAGTGAATATAATCTACAATACCTTTTGTATTATGTATAGTGGTGCCAAACTTCACTCTCTTCTGCTTTCCCAGAACACAATGCTCGCAAAAGTTCATTTTGCAAGCCTTTGCACCTTTTAACAATCCTTTCTTTGCCAGAATTTGCAAGGATTTCTCTCCAGCATGTCCCAACCGCATATGCCACAACTGGGTTGCGTCTAAATTATCACCTCCGAAGCTGCTGCAACTGCTCCAATAATTGTACTACCTTGGTAGTAATACAAATTATTTTTCCTGATGCCCTTTATCATCACAAGTGCACCATATGTGACTTTTAAAACTCCATCTCTTATAGTGACTACTGAGCCTTTGGATTCCAAGGCTCCCAACGAGATGAGATTTTTCTTCAAACTGGGCACGTATCGGACATCTTTCAGAACTCTGGTTGATCCATCTTGATTCTTCAATCGAATTGAACATATCCCAACAGTTTTACAGGCATTGTCATTGCCCATATAAACAACTCCTGCATTTAGTTCTACTAAATCGGAGAACCACTCCGATTAGGGGACATATGATAGGTGCAACCCGAATCTAATATACATTCATCTGAATGGAATATTGTTGATGAAGCAACCAATGATATGTCAGAGTCATTTGCATCATGCTCTGCAAAACATGCATCTAGAGCAGCTTTTCCTTTCTTCTTCAACTTCAGACAATC